TTCATCCAAGCAACTTCTAGAGAAGAAGATGCTTGCAGCTGAAAAAGGTTCTGGGAGATAGGAATCCTGCAGACATGTTGACCAAGGCGGTAACTTTGGAAAAGTTGAAGGCGTGTGTAGCTTCGACTGGCCTTGATGATTAAAACAGGCGAGACTTAGCGGAACCAAGAGCGAGAGATGAACGGGTTGACCAATCTTCAAGTGGGAGATTGTTGAGGTGTAAAGATCGGTCAAAGATAGGGAACTTCCTCGTAAGTTCCTGGTCAAAGGAAGGCTACTTCCTTGCAACTTCCCGGTCAAAGGAAGGCTATTTCCTTGCAACTTCCTGGTCAAAGGAAGGGAGCTTCCTTGCAACTTCCTGGTCAAAGGAAGGGAGCTTCCTCTCAACTTCCTCTCAAGAAGGATTTGTTTGGCTATAAATACCTCATTTTGTAACCTCATTTGTATCCAATCCAAGTGTGAAGAAAGAGTAGAGAGAGTGTATTCATACGGGCTTGTGTGAGTTGTAACATTCGGTTTATCCTCTTATTCTAGTTCATTCTCCTGGCTTGGTTCGCCCCGGACGTAGGATTTAATCCGAACCTGGGTTAACAAATATTCGTGTCTTTTATTAATCTCACATTGGTGTATTATTATTATTCCATCTTATCCGACTTTATTTCCCAACAAGCTCCACGCCATACGACAAAACTTTAATTTACAATAAGTACAACAAAACTTACAATTAATATATATATATATATATATAATTGATTTAACTACTGAATAATGTAATATTATAAGTCATCACTATTTGGACTTACATTAAGATTTTATCTTTCAAAATTTAATAATTATTAAATATATATTTATAAATTTCATCTCTTATTATTTTTATTCATCCACCATAATCCGTGATTGCTATATAAATGTTTATATTAGGTTTACTTTTTACTTATAGTAAGTTTATTTTCTCTACGGACATTCTTATTCTCTAATTCTTATATAGACTTATATTTTTTATATTACCAATGATTTGATTTGAAGAGAGTTTGTGTACATGAATTTTCCAATTTTTTCTTATATCTCGTAATTTCGAAATTCAATTCTGAACATTATCTACATCTCGATTATACATGTTAAAAGTTTCAACTCGTAAGTTTGTTATGCTAAACACGGTCAATTTTTACTAACAAGACAACCTAAAAATAGTATTTATACTCTTTGATTTGAAAGTTTTCTATGCAGAAAAACTGTAACAGTTTCAGTTGGTATTACCTACTAGCAGAAACAGCATTACTATTTGAGATATTTATAAAATATTGTTAAATAATTAATCTAACTTGTTGTAAAAATATACTAATATGAAATGACAAAAAGTATTATTTTCCACAGTTTTATATTCAAAATCCATTTTAAGTTCTTAGATATCCGCAAAGGGTTATAGATACCCCTTTATCCATAAAGATGATATTTAGGTAGTCCAACAGGAATAAGATTTTACAACCTGCCCTTTGTTATTCCCCGCATATAGTTCTATTTTGACCATAGAATTGTGCATTTTGCATTGAACTTTCAAATTTTAAAGGGCAAAACAGAATCACAAACTAGCTCATAATTATAGCACCTGATAAAAGGATACATAGCAAACCACTAGATTCTTAATCATATATTACAAAATAGAATACGACCCTTTTATAATAAATTAAAAGCGACTACAACAATCATATAGAAAAAAAGAAATAGAATAATGAGTCACAACAATTTTTTCATTAAACAATTTTTTCTCGGTGCTTGAAACAAGAACTTGGTTTTGGCCACTCTGAATCTGATGGAGCATGATTGCAACGCAAGAATATCGATTTGGGAAATATGATGGTGAAGAGAGAGTATCTGGAACCCCTTTTTCCTTTACACGTAGTATAGATTTGGTTGACATCTTTCATGTCTATTCACAATCAGCATGCTTTCATTTGACACGAGTTTGTTCATTCATGATATGGATAATAACATTCTGGATTTGTATTCAGAATCCATGATGAGGAAAAACACACGCATTCAAAGTAATCCCCAGTAGAATCAGGAAAAAAAAACACAACAATATCATTGTTCTCTTTATGTTCAGATTTCGGCACAAACTATGTTAAACCTTGAAACCCGTGACAGAAATAAAAGTATCTAAGATAATTGTTGCTGGTACTGGGATCACATCAGAGGAACAAATTGATACTATATTGAAACTAGGGTCCATTACAGACTTCTTTTTTGGCAATCATGCGAATTCGGAATCGAGTTGGTAATTTAAAGCCACATAATGAGAGAAGTTAGGTATGCGTGTTGAAGTGCTTTCTGGTTCAGTGCTCTAGTAGTAAAGTAAAGAAGAAAGAGTATGATAAAGGAGGAAATATTATTTTCATGTAGGACTTGTCATTTTCATCACATTCTACCAATATTCTTTCGTGATTTCGTAAACCTCTGTCACACCCTTTCTCTGTTTATTAACATTTAATCCAAGAACCAAGTCACCATATTAACTAAAATTAAACCAAACACATTTATATTTATATATATAATTTTCCCCTTACAAGCAATGAAGAGAAAGATAAATCCATATTTACATTATTTTCCTTTTCTTTTAAACACAAAATATTAAAATATATTATTTTTCTCTCTCTATTCTTCATTTTTCCATATTCTTACACTCCAAGACGTTTACATGCATGTGTTTGTTATACGTTATTGGTTTAACATAGAAATATTGCCATACGTGCATTTGGAAAAGCTGCCCTAGACAACCTGGTAGTCTTGTCTGTATTTTTCTTTCTTTTCATTCTCTCAAAACAATTTATGAAGCTTAAGGAAGAAGAAGAAAACAATTGAATTTTGAAAACCTTGACTATTCTCCTAAAACTTATATTTATATTTATATTTATGAAATTTATTGTCCAACATATTATTAAATAGGTAGAGTGGAGATTAAATAAGTATAAAATGAATGATATTTAATATTTTTATATTTTAATAATATAATAAGTATAAAATAAATATTAATAATTATAAGTCTCTTGAAAAACAATTATCACAATCGAAGATAACAATGAAGATGACAAATCATAACGGGAGTAATAGATCAAAGATTGTGAGAGATTATTATAAAAATGATAGGAAGCAAAATAAAAAAAATATTAAGAATATTTATCCTTTGAAATTATTAAATGTTTTGACCTTTTTAAAAATTTAAAAACTGGTTGAATCCATTAATCCTTGATTTTGTGATTTTTTTAATACAATTTTATGAATTTTGATCGTATTCAATCGAACCATTTTGTTTGGAAACAACATACTAATTTTCGACCAAATTCATGATTGGACCAAATGATCCGACTCTCTAATTTGGATGAACATGTTACACTTTTTAAAAACTTTTTTAAAATTGATCTAATTTTTTGTAATACTCTTTGTTTTTATTCTCTCCATGCTACGAATGGGAAAATTGATAAGTTTCTATTATAAGTATGTAGTTTATAGATTAAATAATTCATAAATATACTGTTTAAGATCATATAATTTATAAGTTTTTATTTATTTAGGAACACTCTATAAAAAATGATTTAGAATAATATATTTACATTGATAACAATATATTCCAAAATATAATTTTTTGAACATATATTATTTTTTATATGTACTAAAAAAATTTAGAAAACATGTCACTTATTTTTAGAATGGATATTCTAGAATATAAGAAGTGCATTGTAGAAAGAAAAAAGTGATTATGGACTATTCTAAATAAGGGAATGTGTTAATGTTTTCTGAAATGTATACAAATTGGATTTTAAATTTGGGTAATTTGATAACACAAAAATAACCAAAAAATACAAGTTGAGATTGTTAGAAGAGAAAGGATAGTGGTGAATTTTCTCGTATTAGATGGGGGTATAGAATGAGAAATGCAGGTACAAAGAAGAATCTCAAAAGGCTTTTATAGATAACAACATGAGCCCATTTACAATCAACCCAAATATTCAATTGAGCCTAATCCATGATCAATGCCGCGCAATGGCTTCCTGCACCTTTACATTTTATCAGCCACACCTCTTTGATACGTAATAATGACAAAAATAACTTAACATCTTTAATTTTTTAGAAAATATGTTCTGAAATCTATAAAAAGCTTCCATATTACAAGTTTTGAAGCATTCTGAAAAAAATAAATTTGAAATGAAAAATCGAAAATTGTATATTTTTTTAACTGTTTTAAATATATTATTTCGGAATATCCTACTATAAAATATATCATTGCATAATAATATATTAGAAAGCTTTTGAAATATATTTCGGGATATTCCTTATGGAAACATAAAATAAAATATTCATTTTTTTTTAAATCTTCTAGAATATTTTTCTGAAAAGTTTTCCCAATCCTTTCTAACTATTCCACATTATTTTCAACTCCAATATAACTCGAATGTCTAAGTGAACTTTATTTGTGATCTTTTCTGTTTTGAGCAGCTAAATGACCTAAGACAGAGACAGGTAGAAAAAACCATTAAAATAAAGAAAAATATTGATAAGGAGAAAAAGGTAAAGGAATTAGCAAAACAAGAAAGAGAGAAATTATATATTTGGAAGAATGTATTAAAAGATAGGTTACAAAAAGGAGAGAGATGACAAAATTTACCATTAAAATATCCAGAAACAGCTTGACGGAAAAAGAATTTCAGAAGATTTTTAATTTTATGCATGCAGACTCATTTTAGAAACCTTATTCTGTGATGAAGACTTCTATTATGAATTATTATAAAATATCAATCCAAATTAATTAAAAAATAATTTTAGATTATACATTCTGGAATGCTTTTAAAAATATCATTCTAAAATATATTTTTCTATAATACTTTAAAATTTATAATCAAGAAAATTTGTAATATATTTCAAAAATAATTTGTTGGAAAACGTAAGAATCTTAAAAAAAAAATTAAAATTGTCATTACATCATAACAGGAAGGTGTGGGAAAACAATGGCCGAAACAGGCCCATTTACTCTTCTAGCTGACAGGATCAGGCCTGGTAGGAAATTTACTTGACCCCGAAAGAAACTCAAAACAACTTTCTTTGTCTCCCTCTTCTCCTTTGGTCTCCATCTCCCAACTTTGCACCTTCCCAGCGATCTAACTGCTTCTCCCTGCTTGTATTCTACGCACACCATTACAGATCGAAAATTGCAGCATTGGAAAGCACAGTTTCAAATTTTAGCAAAGTGAACAAGATCTGAATGCGGTGAAGTAGTGTTGTAGGTTTCGGAACGCGATTCATGGAGTGGACGACGCTGCAGCACCTGGATCTGCGCCACGTAGGGCGTGGCGTTAGGCCTCTGCAGCCTCACGCTGCTTCCTTCCATCCTCACCAAGCTCTCGTCGCCGTCGCCATCGGAACCTACATCGTCGGTGAGACACCAACCACTATCTATTTTCTTACCTCTTCCAATTGCGAATTTAGTTTACTGTACTAATTTGCAATTCGGTATGTACAATTATGTTGTTTGTTATGGTTGTTCAATGGTACTTAACTTGCTCTTGAAGCACTAGTTTATTAAGGCATGCACTAGTAGAAGCAATCTTGTGTGCTGATTTGATCCTTGACATCTGAGCTGTTGGTAATTAACTACGGTTTTGATGTGTATTCACAAATCACCTGCATATGAACTACTAAGCAGATACTCTCACACATACATATATTACCGTATACATAAGCTCCAAGTTATGAATTATGAAGCAGACACGCATACATATATTATATATATATATATATATATTGTGGTTGTTGAATGCTGCTTAATTTGAATTGAAATATGTTTCTAAAGGCATGCACCAATAGAAACTATTTTGTATCTTGATTTGATCCGTGACACCTGAGCCGTTGGGAATTAACTAGTTTTTACTGTATATTTATAATCACCTTGTGTCGAACTATGAAGCGGACACTATCACCATACATTCATATATTACCGGATCCAAGTTTGAACGATGAAGCATACACTCTCACACGTTTATTACTATCTCATAAGCTCCTAGATTTATAATATCTTGGTATATGTTATATTTTCTAATTAAGGTTATAATTGGGCTCGTGGTTTCGTCACATCTTTAACATATCGGCCAAAATTCCGGTTTCACCTATTTTGAAACATTGTTTCCAATACTTGCTATTGCTGAGCCCCTCTCGTACAACATATGACATCAATTTTATTTACATTTTCGAAAAAGAAATTCCAAAGGTTATGCTGAGGACTGGGGGTTTTGGAGGAATAACGGGAATGGAGGGCAAATATTTCATTTCTAATAAATATATTTTCTTATTAAATAATTAATATATTTTTTTTTAAATCATAGAAATAAAACTATAGATTAGTATAATCTTGACATCAACCTGTCCTAGTAGAGCTAGTCATGTAAATGAAATAATTATGCACAAGGACAAAAATATTCCTGTTATATTTTTGCATTTATAAAAAAAGTTGCATAATGTGAAACAGACTAAACTTTTACCTTCTATTGTCAATTTTTAATGGATCAATGTGTCTATGGTGTATCATAACATCACCATAGCTTAAAAAATTTGAAAATATCACATGCACTTGCCGGTTGCATTGAACCGGTGAATCGCAAAAGGGTCATGTTGGATCAGGTTTGACAAGCTGACATGGAACCAAATTGTTTTTTTTTATAAGCTAATAATTTATTAAGAGATAAGAGAAAGATTCAAATTCAGAGTATAAAATATCCTCAAGGAAAAAAAATGTCACAAAAACCTAAAATGAAAAACATGCAACACTGCATACCAATCACCTGAGGGTCTACCAAAGATACTCCTATATAAATGGAATACCACAAAGAAGGTAGAAAACTTCTTGATTCCTAATGAACTCAATAGAAGACCACTGTCCAGAGAAAATTGAAGCAATTCTTTTTAACAAAATATGCCAAAAAATTGCCAACTCAGAACATGCCAAATCTTTGCAGCATCTTTAGCATTACTGAATCCTCAACATTAATGCACAGAAACTGCTGAAAATTCTTTGGATAGATCCAATGTTCACCGAAACACAACATCAAGTTATTCTTCTAGGAAAAGGAAGCTGCCAAACAATGTGGCAGTCCACATTACACAACAATCAAGAGATAAACAAAAGGATCTTTGAATCTGAAGTAAGTCATTGGTTTTAATCCTATCAAGAACAGCAGTCTGAACAAAGGGTTTGACCAGGAGGGAGTGTAGTATTTCCACAAGATCTTATCTCGAGGGAAGGAAGCATTGCTGTTAGATGAAGTAAGAAACTGAAAATAGGATCCGTAAGAAAATAAATCTTAAATGTGTGAAAACCAAATCCTCTTGTCTGGAGTAGAGAACAAATGGATTGAATCTAGCAGTGTCATAAGAGACTGAACTACTGTTAATCGCCTTATAGGTTAGGAATAGCTCTGTTATTGTCAACTACCTTTAGAAAATATGGGTTTAGTAATGTATCTGTTATTGTTCTTCTTTTTAAAAATTTAGTTGGGATTCTCATCAATCTATTATTGTCTTGTGTAAATAAAATGGTTCCCCATATTTAAAAATCTTGTTTGAGTTTCTGATTTGAGTGGACTTATTGTTGTTTCATGAGGCATTTCCTTGTGTGTTGACTTGATCTGGGTTCAATACTTGATGGTTTGTTTCAATGTATGCAGAATTTGATGCATTAACAGGAAGCAAGATTTCCGCACTTGACATTGGAGCGCCTGTTGTGCGAATGTCTTATAGTCCTACAAGTGGGCATACTGTGATTGCAATCCTCCAGGTTGACCATACCTGAACTTTTCACGTGCCCTTGTTCGTCCCTCAAAATAATCTTGTGCTGCTGTATTTTAAATTCTTAATGGAAAGTGTAGATATGCTTTCATTATGAAGAAAGATGTAGTTTTTGCAAAAGATTGTGGTTTGATCAGAAACATTAATTTTCTCTATTGCACACAAATGTTAGCATTTTTTTTTCAATTGTTTTGGCTATAGAGGTAGTAATATGCAAATTAAATCCTGATGGGGACAACATTTTAGGAATTATGACCTTGAACCGCCGAAGTGATTTACTAGATCAAGTCCAGAAAAAAAACTTAAAAATAGGAAGCTTCACTGCGAAAATGCTTATTGTTCATCAAGATACAAAATGCATAAGTGCAGATTATCCTAATCAGTTGGACTTTTGTTTTGTTTTGGTTATTTATTTATTTTACCAAGTTTGTCCTTTTATAAGTTTTGCTTGTTTCATTTTCTGTTACTTTGGTCTTGGGAAGTAAACTATTCACTTGCTGTTCCTATTTTTATTTTTTAGTTCTGCCCCTCAATTGTATATATTGTGATTGGGTATTTCTTTTATTCTTATTACCCCTGTTGGTTGCTTTTACATCTGTAGGATTGTACAATACGGTCTTGTGATTTTGACTTAGAGCAAACATGTGTATTGCATTCACCAGAGAAGAAGACAGAGCAAATTTCTTCTGATACAGAAGTTCATATGGCTTTGACCCCACTACAACCTGTTGTTTTCTTTGGGTTTCATAAAAGAATGAGTGTGACAGGTTGGATCTTTTTATCATGTGTCTAAACAAATGTGTTTGTATTAGTATGATTACCAATGGTGATATTTCTGCTAAATATCTTTTTGCATGAATGAAGTTGTTGGAACTGTTGAAGGCGGTAAAGCACCCACGAAAATCAAGACAGACCTTAGGAAGCCTGTTGTCAACCTTGCTTGTCATCCTCGTCTCCCTGTACTGGTAATGTTTTTGGTGTATATTTTATCAAATTACATTTTCTTGTAAGTACATGTTATGTTTTTCTGGTGTAAGACATTTCTAGTGTTGAGTTTCTTATGTTAATGATATACCTCACCTCAATCCTATCTTTTTTGAATTTGACTGGATAGTTTTTCCATTTCAGTATGTTGCTTATGCAGAAGGTTTGATTCGAGCATATAATATTCATACCTATGCTGTTCATTACACACTACAACGTAAGATGATTTCTAACATTCTTTTCCTATTGACATGCCTCATATTTCTTTATGAGTTCTATCTTTAATATTATTTGTATTTACATTGTGTTTTCTACTCAGTTGACAATACCATAAAGCTTGTTGGTGCTGGTGCGTTTGCATTTCATCCAACTCTAGAATGGATTTTTGTTGGGGATCGACGAGGTACACTTTTGGTATGGGATGTATCAACTGAGAGACCTATTATGATTGGAATGTGAGTGTAAATTATTTATGATCTAGTTTTTTCTTGTACCCTGATTGAGATATAGCATCATTATCACCTATACTTTCTTATTTATTATTATCTTGTGGTTATTTTTAAATATTTGATTTTAGGCTTGTTATTATGGTTAGATGGGATCATGTTATTGTTATTGAAATTTCAGAAAACAAGTTGGCTCTCAACCGATAACATCAGTTTCTTGGCTCCCCATGTTGCGGCTGCTTGTAACTCTATCTAAGGATGGAAGTCTTCACATTTGGGAAACACGCGTTACAGTCAATCCTAATGGACCTCCCACACAGGCTAATTTTTTTGAGCCTGCAGGTTATTGACTCTTTTGTCTTTACCTTAAATACCTGATGACTTCCTGTTGGTTTTGAATTTTGATAGCTTATGTTAGTTACATGGCAGAAGATTTCTGCTTTTACTTTTCCTTTTTCCTTATAGTTATAGAATCTTTTAATATATATATATATATATATATACACACACACACACACACACACGCACACATACATACATACATACATACATACATACATACATACATATATATATATATGTGTGTGTGTGTGTGTGTGTGTGTGTGTGTGTGTATATATGTATATATATACACACATACATACATGCATATATACACACATACATATATATATATATATATATATATATATACACACACACACACACACACACAGAGAGAGAGAGAGAAAGCATATAATAACAATGGTCATGCTTCATTCTAGTACTATTCTTTCTATAACTGTTTGGCTAATTTGTATTAAATTATGATGCAGCTATTGAATCAATTGATATCCCTAGGATCCTTTCTCAGCAGGGTGGAGAAACAGTTTATCCATTGCCACGTATCAAAGCTTTAGAGTTTCATCCAAAATCTAATTTAGCAGCACTGGTTTTTGCAGTTACGTGCTACCTTACTTGTTTATATCTCTTGCTTGTCGGTGAATGTGGAAGATAAATTAGTGTTTATTTTAACAGAATGTGACAATTGCCGACAATTCAAAAAATAGGGCCAGATACAGTAGAGAAGGGAGAAAGCAACTTTTTGCAGTTTTACAAAGTGCACGAGGATCTTCAGGTATGTGTTTTCATTTGGTCTATAATTAGCATTGAAGATGTGCTGATGGTAGAGGTGCTGTGCAGCATCTGTTTTAAGGGAAAAACTTTCTGCCTTGGGTTCTTCTGGAGTGTTAGCGGACCATCAACTTCAAGCTCAACTACAAGAACAGCATCTTAAAGGGTGAGTTTTAATATGCAGCTATGTAGAGGAACAGATGTCAATAATATCTTAAATGTCAATAGAGGAATAGGAAACATGATGTTTGGAATCCATAAGGTTAATTATGTTAAGCTGCTTGGACTAAGGATCTATTGGGTTTACTTTTTATTTTTTGGTTTCATGTTTTCATTAATAATTAAAAAATGTTACTTTGTTTTCGAAGTTCATTCTGTTTCTACCGTTTCCTTTTTGAAAAATAAAGTGAATATGGGCAATGAGAAGTGAAACTACAAGAACAGCATCTTAAAGGGTGAGTTTTAATATGCAGCTATGTAGAGGAATAGATGTCAATAATCTCTTAAATGTCAATAGAGGAATAGGAAACATGATGTTTGGAATCCATAAGGTTAATTATGTTAAGCTGCTTGGACTAAGGATCTATTGGGTTTACTTTTTATTTTTTGGTTTCATGTTTTCATTAATAATTAAAAAATGTTACTTTGTTTTCGAAGTTCATTCTGTTTCTACCGTTTCCTCTTTGAAAAATAAAGTGAATATGGGCAATGAGTAGTGAAACTTTTTCTTAAACCAATTCTACTCCCGAGAGTTTGGTCTTTGATTGACTATTTCTCCTTTCTATCTAAAATTGTACTTCATGCCAATATTTGCATATGGGTTTTGTCAATATATCTAATAGTATTGAAGGTGTCAAAATATTGTACTTTACTTGGTGAAACTTGAAATAATGTACTGTACATTTTCTGATTTGTTTTGTAATTTACACACTAATTTGGTCATATCATTAACCAATGTGAGATCTTTCACAATGTGGAAGACTGAACACCTTGAGTCGGGCATGAAGTTTGCAAGATTAAACATTTGTAGGTGGTTTAATAGCGGACAGCTCAATAGGCCCATTACCAACTAGAATATGTGCTATAATATCATCTTAGAATTGTGTTTGGCCTAAATCACCTTGAAAATCAAGCTCATGGAACGAGAGTTACATCCCTCTTATGTACACCAACTTGGCTATATCATTTCCATAGATAGGTTGATCCTAAGGGATTGATGTTGTTTGCCCTACATATTCTACTCATTATCATGGAAAATCCAATTAGATTACTTACTGTTCAGTTTAGTTTTGGTCAGCCACTGTTAGTGCTTACCCATTGCAGCAGGTTCTTATATACACAAGGAGACAAGGTTTAAGATTTTACATTTTTTTAGAGGTATGGTCAATGTGGTCCTCATAAAGCTTTATCAGTCCTCAACTTATAAGTCGATTTTGGAAGGTCAAATTTTGCCTTAAGCCCAAATTCTAAGTGGAATGTGTCAAGTGAAAACAATTTCGACAAGATGTGTATTCTTGTGCTTAGCCACCCAATTTTGTTGAAGTGTATAAACACATAAAGTTTGATTAAGAATGTCATGAGAAGTCATAAAATGTTTAAAAGAATGAGAAAGGTATTCACAATCATTATCACTTCGCAAAGTTCAAATAGAAATCCCAAATTGAGTTTTAATTTCATTAAAAAAGGATTGGAATATAGAAAACAACTCAGAACGATTTTTCATTAAAAACATCCAAGTACATCTAAAATAGTCATAAAAAAAGTAACAAAATATTGAAAATCTAAATTAGATTTAACACGACTAGGTCCCTAAATGTCAGAGTGAACTAATGCAAAAGGGGCCGAAGCACATTATGAGACATTACGAAGAAAGGAACTACGACTGTGTTTCCCTTATTTACATAACTCACATAACAAACTAGATAAATTGGACAAATCGGGAAGAAGCTGCTGCAATTTGGTAAGACTAGGATGACCTAGCTGAGCATGGAAGAGAGATGGAGACTTCATAACTGTGACAACATGTGTAAAAGGGCGAATATGATAAAGACCATGAGACTCATATCTGGTGTCAATCATCTGTCTCGAACCCCGGTCCTGTAAACAAACAAAATCTTTGGTAAAAGAAATAACACAATAAAAAGAATGAGTTAGACGACTAATGGATAATAAGTTAAAGGGAGATCCAGGGATATAAAGAACATTATCAATGGATAAAGATGGAAAAAGATTAACCGTATGAACACCATGATATAAGACCCTAGACCCATTAGCCATTGTAACCGAAGGTAAATTATCTGTAGAGGATAAAGAAAAAAACAAAAATTTGTTACTAGTAATATGATCTGCTGCGTCTGAGTCAAAAACCCAAGGTCCAAGAGAAGGAGATTGAGTCAACGAGAAGGAGATTGAGTTAGGCCAACAAAAGATGTACCTGTGTGTGCAACAGAAGCTGTGGAACTAGAGTTCTGACGATCCTCGTACCATTTGAAAAATTCATTGAAAATAGCAAATTTGCCTAGAGTATAAGATGAAGTAGGATTCACAGTAGATGATTATGAGGGAGGATCAGTTTGGACAACTGCAATAGATCGAGGAGGACGACCATGTAATGCATAACACCTGTCTATCTTGTGGCCTAGATTGTGACAATGATCGAATTTGTGACACCCTTTTCCTGACTTGCGAGAGCGATTACAATCATCACGTTGAGAAGAATCATCAGCGGAAGCATGTATATCAATGATATGTTTACTTGGACACGCAGAAGGATGAAACAAGTAGAACTAAAATTGGGCACAACATGGGAGCCCAAATTCATCAACAAGTTCATGTAATGCTAACAACATGAAGAACATTGACCGTTGCTCTAGTTCTTGGGTAGGAGTAGAGATAGGAGGTAATAACTCATTAAAGTCATGAAGAAAAACATGGATTTTACCAAATATTCAGTCATTGGGCCATGACTTCAAGGAGCAACAATAGTGATAAGATCGTGGCAAACACTGTTAAGACATTGAGTGTCATTGGTGTATAATAATTTTGCCTATTCCCAAACTCGGAACATGTTTTGTAAGCACGAAACATTTGTTTTAAAGAAGGGTGAATGGTAGACTTGAGAACGATGCATAATTGAGGATCAGTTTTCATCCAACGGGAGACTTCACCAATAGCAATAGTAGTCACACTCTGAGTAAGATGATCAACATACCCCTAACTCTTAAGCCAAAGTTTAAGTTTGACGCCTAAGGCAGCGGAAGAAACCATGTTGGAAGAGAGAGAAAAATCCTAAAAAAACCAAAGAGGTCCAATCAGATCAACAAGGCCAAATCCAGATAGAGGGAGAGATGACAAGTCCAGTGACGGTGATCGCTGTCGGAGAAGGCCTGTCACGTGCCGCCACGTGTGGCGGAAAGTGGCTGCTGTGCGAAAACTTCAAATGGTGCGGTGGAGACACCGATTGCGGCGATGTCAACGACATGGTGGTCACCTAGCCGAGACGAGCAGAATGGTGTGGTCACCGATCTAAACTGTAACTCTGCCGGCAGCAATGGCAGGTGTAGGGGCAGCCGGCGACGAAAAAGGAACCCAGAGAACCTAAGCTCTGGATACTATCTTAAATATAATGAAAACTAGGTATAGGTTTAATTTCCTTTGTGTGTAAAATACACATAGGGTAATATATTTATAATGAAGAGTAATACAGGGAAATATGACAAATACACGTAAATATGGTAATCATAAGATATTATGACTAACAATATCTAACAAACATAATAAATTGTTTTTATCTTTTTTTATTTTGAAATACTCAACCTTAAATAAGAGGGAGATACATATATAACTAAAAACAATGTTCTATTCTATTTAGTAAGCACCAAATGCAAAACACAGGACACTGTTCTATAGCTACGAAACATAGTTCTAGGTACACAAACCAACATTTCATTCCATTCCATTCCATTCGGTGGTATTTTGTTCTGTTCATGTTACCTTAGGGATAAGATGGTGATCTCAGTTGTCTGCTCCTATCAAATTGTAAGGTCCAAGATAATCTGTTATTTGATAATCACTAAGCACATTCCAGATTTATACTTCTGGTAAAAGTTTTGTTGAGTTTAAGCATCATCAGTTTGAAATTTGACAATGGTCAGACTCTTTCCTAAGTTTTGCTTGATTATTTTGTCCATTAGTTTGTTGTTCAGTTGATGCAATTTGTGTCATTTATCATCTTATGTCATTGTTGACATTTGCACTTCTTTTTGCAGCCACGGGCATCATACAATATCTGACATTGCAAGGAAGGCATTTTTGTATAGTGTATGTTTCTAATTTTATTTATTTATTGTTATTCTTGAATAGGAGTTTATTGTTGCATATGGAATTGATCTTATGCTGTTATCAAATTAAGTCTAAAGATAACAAGGGCTCTTTCAATAAATAACAAAAGAAACATCTAGAAACTGAGACTGAGTCACTTAACAAGGCATGTCAATCCCTCTTCATGTGTAATAAAGAAAACATTCCAAAAAGTTGTTGGCAGAACACCACTGATTAGCCAAGAAAGTAACCCTATCCCAAATGTTGTCTTGAGATCACAGTGTCTTTGAAAGTTCTAGCTCTTAGAAAGTGAATTTTAAGCTTAACGCAACCTCACTTAACAAGTGCACTTTTGTTTCTTTTATAAATTCTTTCTCTGTTTTTCCTTTACATATTTTTGTAGCATTTTATGGAAGGCCATGCAAAAATTTCTCCTATATCACGCTTGCCCCTCATCACTGTTCTTGATAACAAGCATCATCTGAAGGACTTTCCAGTTTGTGAGGTATGATTCATGTGACAATTTGCTTTGAAGCATTTCTGTTATATTTTCTGCTCAATCAACTGACACCACCTGTCCACTGCCAGCCTTTTCATTTGGAGCTAAATTTCTTTAACAAAGCAAACCGAGTTCTGCATTATCCTGTTAGGGCATACTATATGGATGGACTGAACCTTATGGCACATAATCTTTCTTCGGGATCTGATAGTATCTACAAGAAGCTATATAATTCGGTAACATAGAGAGTAGTATTTTGGGATTTTTATTGAGATTTTCATTTTACATAACTTTGATTTGCTTGAAGTATTTATATATTTCAAGTGAAAGTTATGCAAAGTTGGCAAATTCAACCTTATAATATCATTCATTAATTTTCTATAGATTCCTGGAAATGTGGAGTACCGAGCAAAATACCTGATACACAGTAAAAAACAGCGCTTATTTCTTGTAATTTATGAATTTAGTGGTACTACAAATGAAGTTGTACTTTACTGGGAAAACAGTGATGCACAGGTAGCAAACAGTAAAATCAGCACAGTAAAAGGTATTTGTAACTGGATTGTACTTTTGTCTCAGTCAGGTTTCGGTCATTTATTACTTGTTAATAATTCAAGTAACTGTCTTGTAGGTCGAGATGCAGCATTTATTGGCCCAAATGAAAACAAGTTTGCAATACTTGATGATGACAAAACGGGATTGGGAGTGTATACTCTACCAGGAGGGGCCTCTCAAGAAGCTAAGGACAATGATAAAGTTTTTGAAGAAAATCCAACTGCAACTGCAGAAACAACTGTTGCTTCAATTCGGGGCCCAACACCGTTTATGTTTGAAACTGAAATTGATCGCATCTTTTCCACTCCATTAGGTGCTTGAATATCTCACACATGTTATCTATTTATCTATTTAGTAACAGACACAACACTTGTTGTAATTTGCATTTATTTAATCAATAGCATAAAGTATTGAAAGAAAGTGGTTTCTCTGAATGTAGATTCATCTTTGATGTTTGCTTCTCATGGAAACCAAATTGGAATAGTGAAGCTCATACAAGGGTACCGTCTATCAACTTCAGCTGCCAGTGGCCAATACATATCTACAAATAGTGAGGGGAAAAAGTTAATTAAGTTGAAAAGAAACGAGATTGCACTCCAGGTATCATTTAGAAGAGTGGTTTTTAATTATTATTGGAAAATTGCAGATAACTTTATCTCTGAAGTTAGGTGAAATAGTAGGAAAATATGAGTAAGAAAAAGATGGAAATAGATTGTTTAGTGGTCTTTATGTTGGTGAACATTGGGTTTGCCCCAATGATCACCAGAAAAAAAGTGTTACTTGGAACTTTTGGCACTAATAGAGATACTAAATAGCTTTCATGTTGTGCTCAATTTATAGTACTGTGGGTATTTGGTTGGAACAAAGTGCTAGAATTTTCTAGTTGATTGTTTACCTTTGGTGTTCATTGGGATAGTAGTACATTAACTTATTTGTTGTGTTATGCTAAAGGACTCTCTAAGGTGGTTGTCATTGGTTGACATTTAAGAGAGATTTTGCAATGTTACATATTCCTCTCTTGTATATGTATCTCCTTTCATTGAAACAATTGGGAGGGTAGCTATGTGTTTGTATAATGTCTTACGAAAATGAAAATATTTATACAATTTATGTTACTATGTTGGAAAGTTGTCTGGTCACCTCTATGTGTCATAGATTGTAGTTACTGACATGTGGCTCTTAAGTATGTTTAGTTCCATGTTGACTATAAATATGACTTGAGTACAACTTCCAAAGTTTGGACAATTCTCTCCTTACAAGTTAGTTTATTAGGATTCAGTTACGCCTTATAAATCTAACATTCCAAGATCGAATAATGTGGAATTTCTAGTCGATGTGGAATCTTTAGCACACACCTTCACCCTGAGGAATGAATTTCTTGAGAGTGTGGAGCATGGTTGGTCAATAACAACCTGATAAGGGATGAATGAAGTCATAAGTCTAACAATCTTACTAGGATATGCTCGATATTATATTAGAATTGAATGAGTCTAACTCAATCTTATAAAACTAGCTTGTAAGATGAGTTTTGCACTTCACATATATATTATAGTTTGATTTTATCTCTGATCAATGTGAGATATAAACACAAGCCCTCCCATCTAGAATATGAGTAATCTCCAATTCCAACACTTATTATCACATTGATTAGATATATGATTTAAATAAAGCTTAGAAAGCTTGAGCAGTCCTCACCTTTGAAGTCAATATTATGGCTCTAACTCCAAATTCTAAAATGGTATTAGAAACTTCTTAGATCCTTTGTTGGGCCACGTACATTTTTGACACTCCAGCTGGTGGCCCTAGGTATAGGGGGGAGTGTTGGAAATTTAAGATAATTGGATCAGTCCCAGCTTACTTTAGTTGCAATCTATTTGGGGATTGTCTTAATTGCAGGCTTCGTAGTTGTAGTTTAGTTCCACATCAATTAGTGATATGATGTAAATAAAACTTATAATCTTATAACGTGATATCTTGTCTCAATGTGTTTGCTTCTTCCATGTGCCACCGGGTTCTTCGCAAGACTTATGGCTGATTTATTGTCAACAAATAGTTGAACTGGTTTTTTGTACTCAATCTTCATTCCTTCGAGCAAAGACCCCAACCACAAGGCTTGGCATGCAGCAGAACAAGCAGCAATATACTCTGCCTCACATGAAAAAAGAGCAATAACACTTTGCTTCTTTGAGCACCAAGATACAGGTGCATTCAGGAAGTTGAAGAAGTAACCAGATGTGTTTTTCCTTTCCACTTTGTCACCTCCCCAATCTGAGTCTGTGTATGCCTCAAATTCTGCTTTAATTTGCCCTTTAGCTTTTGGGTATAAGAGCCCATAATCTTGGGTCCCTTTAAGATATCTCAATATTCGTTTTGTTGCTACCATGTGCGATACCTTTGGTTCACTCATAAACCTGCTGATCAGCCCAACTCCATAACTGATATCTGGTCTGCTATGACATAAAAATCTCAAAGATCCCACCATCTGCTTATACAAAGTGCTGTCCACTGCTTTCTCTTCATTATTCTGGACTAGCTTCACATTTGTCTCAGCCAGTGTTGATGCTTCATTACAATTCTCCATCTTAAACTTCTTGAGTATCTCTCTTGTGTATTTCCTCTGATGCAGAACTATTCCATGACTGGTATAGGCAATCTCCATACCAAGAAAGTATGTTAGAATACCTAAATCAGTCATCTCAAACTCTGATTTCATCTTCTCCTTAAAGCCTTCTATCTCTAGCAAATTATTGCCCGTGATAAGCAAGTCATCTACATAGAGACACACAATCAGTAGACCAGCACCTTGCACCTATTTTACATAAACACCAAACTCAACATCACACTTAGCAAAATTTTGTTGCAAGAGAAAGATATCAATTCTCTTGTTCCATGCCCAAGGGGCTTGTTTCAACCCATACAGTGCCTTCTTCAATTTGTAGACCATATTCTCTTTCCCTTCAATCAGAAATCCTGGCGGCTGAAGGACATACACTTCCTCTTCTAGTGGACCGTTTAGGAACGCTGATTTAACATCCATCTGAAATAGGGGCCATCCTCTTGAGTTAGCAATTGCTATTACCAATCGTATTGTCTCAATTCGAGCTACTGGTGTAAACACTTTTGTAAAATCAACTCCTTCTCTTTGTAGAAAGCCTTTTGCCACCAACCTTGCCTTGTGCTTGGCAATAGTTCCATTTGTTTTCAATTTCAGCTTAAAGATCCATTTTACCGCTATTGGTTACTTGTTAAGAGGTAAGCTAACAAGCTCCCATGTATGGTTCCTATTGATAGACTTTAATTCTTCAAGCATGACATCTTTCCAAGCCTCCTGTTTCAAAGCCTCCCTGAAGTCAATTGGCTCAGTATTTACGTATAAAGCAAAATGAACTAAATCTCCATCTGCAGTCACAGTATTGTCAGAGAATTGCTCATAATCTTTCATTTTTGTTGGCAAGCGTTTTGATCTTTGTGGTCTTCCTTACCCAGGTTGCTCATCACCATCATTATAGTTAATGTCATCTAGCACCACTGAAACAGTTGACTTTTCTTTATTGCAATATTTTTGCCAATCCCAACAGCTAGCCTCATCAACTATCACATCTATTATGAACTACCTTTTTAGCAACAGGATCATAAAGTTTATAGGCACCAGTAGGATGATAGCCCACAAGGATCATAGGTTCACTTCTGTCATCCAATTTCGTCCTTTTCTGCTCAGGAACATGTTTAAAGCATAAGGATCCAAAGATTCTCAGATTTGTTACAACTGATTTCTTTCCTGACCAAACCTCTTCAGGAACCTTTAACCCCAATCTCTTTGTTGGACATCTGTTCAACACATAGCTTGCAGTGGTTACTGCTTCTCCCTATAGAGAGTGTGGCAAATTCTTCTCTTTTAGCATACTCCGAGTCATGTCAAGAAGTGTCCTATTTCTCCTCTCAGTCATACCATTGTGTTGAGGTGTGTAAGGTGCTGTAATTTCATGTTGAATGCCATGTTCTGAGCAATAATCTTCAAACTCTTTTGATGTAAATTCCCCACCTCCATTTGTTCTAAGAATTTTGAGACATTTCCCACTTTGTTTTTCAACAAAAGTTTTGTATTTTTGAAACATGGTGTACACATATTTCTTCACTTTAATCAAGTAGATCCAAATTTTCCTGCTAAATTCATCAACAAAAGATACGAAGTATCTGTTGCCTCCTAATGAAGGTACCTCAAAAGGACCACAAACATCTGAATACACTATATGAAGCAAACCTGTAGCTCTCATAGGCAAATCAGTCACAAAGGAATTCTTGGGTTGCTTGCTGATGAGACAACCTTCACACACTTTTTCAGGGACATGAACGATAGGTAACCCGATCACCATTCCTTTCGCTCCAAGTTGATTCAAGCTTTTGAAGTTCAGATGTCCAAATCTTGAGTGCCACAACCAACACTCTTGATCTATCTTTTCTGCAGTTAAGCATTGCACTTCAGCAGCTTGAATGTTTACTTGAAATGTTCTATTCTTGGCCAAAGGTGTTCTCAACACCAATGTTTGCTTCCTGTCAAACATTTCAAGAAATCCATTCTTTCATGGTCACAGCAAAACCCTTCTCCACTAGTTGGCCTAAGCTTAGTAAGTTGCACTTCATCTCTGGCATATTTTCAATTACAACATTCCTTCCATCTTTTCTTTCCACAGTCACATTCCCTATACCCTCAACATTCACTGTTCTATTGTCACCAAAATGTACCTTGCTCTTGTTAAGGTTCCAACATAAAACCAATTGGCGATATGTGGAGTAGCCTAACATGTATTTAAACCATACCAAATGATATGAGGTAGGCGATGTGGGACTTTCAACACATCCCCTCCAACGAAGCCCGCCGGACCAGGCAAAGGGTACTTTTGACCCAACTAAAGGGCAACTTTTGGCCTATGACAATAACCGGAGAGATGTTAGGCTTTGGCTCTGATACCATGTTAAGGTTCCAACATAAAACCAATTGGCGATATGTGGAGTAGCCTAACATGTATTTAAACCATACCAAATGATATGAGGTAGGCGATGTGGGACTTTCATCAGCTCTTTTTACTTACATCAAATTCAGATAGCCATTCTCTATGGTCTATCATGTGATTACTACATCCTGTATCAAGATACCATGACTCTTGATTAATAGCTTCACTACTAATAGCCATCAACAGTATCAGCTCTTCATCAGAGTCATCTTGAGCCATGTGAGCTTCATCATCATCTCCCTTTTTCTGCTCTCCTTTGCTAAATCTGCACTCATCAGCAAAGTGACCTTTCTTTTGACAATTGTATCAAACAATATTTCTTTTATCAAACTTCTTTTTGCCCCATTTATTTTTCCCGTTCCAACCACCTCCTTTTGAAGTTTCTGTACCTTCAATTTTAGAGCCTTGTTGTATTTGCGAATCTGCCTTCTTCCCTTTTCCTTTCCACCATTTACTACTGTTCTTGGTTACCTTTGCCTGTAAAGCTTGTTTAATGGTCTTGTCTGCACTTCTTTCGTTAAGCCTCAATTCATGTGCTTCCAGGGAACCTTGAAGTTCTTCAATTTTCTCGAAGTGGGCCCCATCCACACACCGATGAATCAAGAACATTGCCTTGCAATCTCTTTTCTTGGCTTCTTTGCGCGCTAACTTTTGTGCATCAGTTGGATTCTTCTCAAGCTTAGGAACACCATTCTCTACTACCTCAAGAACTTCCTGAAAACCAAAGATTACCTTCATTTGAATGCACCACCTTTCCCAGTTCTTCGCATCAAGAATTGGTAAATTACCAAGCAGATTTCCGCTGGAACCCGTCATAATCGACTTGGCTCTGGATACCAGTTTGTTGGAGAAAGAAACTCCAAGGTCAGAAACGTAACATATGTATTACAGAAAAGGGAGTTGTACAACTTACAACTCACGTATTATATTTTTATGAACAGTAAGCATGCAAAAAGTAAAACACAATATACTGCTAACTGTCATATCAGATTTTTATGAACAGTAAGCATGCAAAAAGTAAAACACAATATACTGCTAACTGTCATATCAGTTACTACAACACGTAGTTACGTAGTTTGAATTACTACAACACTTACAAAACTCAACAGAGTTAAACTCAAACCTAATTTCTTAAAAAATTAAGGTAAGAATGGGGCAACAAGGATCTAATATTGCATTTTCTATCCTCCCTCTACCCATGAAAAATAATATTTTTTTATCCTTCACTCTTGCTTTGCTACTGGTGATTATAGGGTTTCTTGTTTGTGGAAATTTTATCAAATATCTGTATTATTGTCATGCTAGATGCTAATCCATGTTTCTTTAAATTTGACAGGTGCACTGGCAGGAAACTCTTCGAGGATATGTTGCTGGAATATTAACAACACAGCGAGTCCTTATTGTTTCAGCAGCTCTTGATATACTTGCTGGCACTTCTGCAAATTTTGATAAGGGACTTCCTTCAATATCCTTTAAACTTGTTTCTCTATAAAATCAAGAAACCATTTATTTACACTAGTGAACTGATTGGTTAAGGGGAGGAGATGGTAAGGGAAAATAACATCCTCCAATAATGTGGGAGGGTTTCTTGGAACCTCATTTTCCCTACGTCTGCTCCCAACTTCTAAACCAAAGGGTTTGTCAAAATTCTTCCCTTCCTAATTTAAATTTCTTGTGTCACATTTATTCTCTGTGGAAACCATAACTCGTACTCACTTTAGATCTCTATTGTGGGTTGGACCGGCCCTCCTTTTTTCTACTGCTACTGCTATCAGTATACTTGGTTGGGATGGAAAAGTCAGGCCTATCCTCTCAATCAGTATGCCTCATGCAGGTAATTTTTCTTGCATACTAGGATGTCATTATATGTTAACCATTTGAGGTACACCTATTTTCTTCAAATACTGTACATTTCTTTGCACTGTCCTACTGATCTATTTATGAGTTTCTCTTGCAGTCTTGGTTGGTTCTTTGAATGACCGATTGTTGCTTGCTAGCCCTACGGAAATAAATCCCAGACAGAAGAAGAGGGTTGAGATCAAAAGCTGTCTTGTTGGTCTTCTTGAACCAATCCTTATTGGATTTGCCACAATGCAGCTATGTTTTGAGCAGAACCTTGACCTGTCAGAAATATTATACCAAATAACATCGAGGTGCCCTTTTTACCTTGTAACTTTTAGAAAGATTGAACTGATGTTTATATATTGGAAATATTTAGGTAACTTTACCCAACAGGTGCAATTTGAGGTGCATTTCCATTTTGCTAAAAGTTAGAAATTATTACCAAAATGGTTTAGATAAATTAAATAGTAATACAACATGCTGTTAATAATTTTTATATGTACTATTGAAGTCATATGGATAAAAGTCACGGCTTAGGTAGGACAGTCGTCTCTCTCTTTCTCTTTCTCAAATATTAGTTCATGAAAATCATGACCTGAGCCATGACTGCCTTGGTTTTTTAATTGGTTTGTAATTGTCATGTTATTATCCCTTCATAAGACAAGATGACTAAGGATGATGAAGACCACTTACCACTGCAACAGATTATAAAATTCATAAAGTTGATTGTGGTTAGAACAAGGGGAGGCAGTGCCTAAGTTTTGACCTTGATCTGGAGCTATGATGTGCACTAAACAATATTCAATTTAACCATATTTCGTATAAATTTTTAAGTTGCACCAAATTTCTAATATACACTACACAACGAATAAAATCTATTGGGTATTAAAGCTGGGTTGTAGACTTCAGAAACACTTTTCATGGTTTAATAAATTTATATTAAAGCTGGTAACGCTGACACTGTAATCTTTTATCTGAATGCAGGTTTGACAGCTTGCGCATAACACCAAGGTCTCTGGATATTCTTGCTAGAGGGTCTCCTGTTTGTGGCAATTTAGCTGTGTCTTTATCACAATCAGGTCCTCAGTTCACTCAAGTAAGCAACATAATTCCATTCTCTTGGCATTTTAGTTTTGGTTTACCTGAAATTTTGAGCATGTGAATATTTTGATTTTAGGTGATGCGAGGAGTTTATGCTGTGAAAGCTCTTCGTTTTTCCACTGCTTTATCTATTTTGAAAGATGAATTTCTGCGTTCCAGAGATTATCCAAAATGCCCCCCCACATCTCATTTATTTCACCGGTTCAGGCAGTTGGGTTACGCCTGTATCAGGTAGGAAAAATAGGAAATTTGTTTGTGCTTTTGATATCACCCTTGTACATATAGGAATTATTGAACTATGATGCATGTTCCATTTATTACTAATTTTCATAAACTATATCTTTCTTGAAGATTTTAATCTTTGTTAATATGTTAAGGTTTTAGTCTTGTTAGAATATATGAAAAATATTTTATAATGTTTCACATTTTCTTGATGATATATTAGAGTAATTTAGAATATCTTAGATCATCTTTTAGGATAGTTTTCATATATCCTTATAATCGCTAAGGATTTGTTTCAATATATTATAATTGCGATTTATTTTTATATTTAACTAGGGTTAAGGGACAAGTACAAAATGATAAGGAAATATGTAATAAAGATACAAATATGATTTTCAATATAAACTTCATTCAATCTAGCCAATTTCTACACGCAGATGAGTAACATCAATGTAGAGGGTTTGTGTATGATATTATGATTTCTATTTTCTTTTTGTTTCTAGCTTAATTTGTGCTATGGTTTTGTATTATGTGTTGACTTGATCTTATGAAATGTATCTGTCTTGTGAATGTTGAGCTCCTATATTTTTGTTTTGGCATGTAGATAGTATTGTAGTTAGTTGAATGTCATGATCTAGAAGTTTGTTGCTAATTGAAGGTTACTTTCAGGTTTGGTCAATTTGATAGTGCAAAAGAAACATTTGAAATTATAGCAGACTATGAAAGTATGCTTGATCTGTTTATATGCCATCTAAATCCAAGTGCCATGCGGCGTCTTGCTCAGAAATTGGAAGAAGAAGGTCTTGATTCGGAATTGAGGAGATATTGTGATAGGATATTACGGGCTCGATCTACTGGATGGACACAAGGTATATTTGCCAACTTTGCGGCTGAGAGTATGGTTCCTAAAGGATCTGAATGGGGTGGTGGAAACTGGGAAATTAAAACACCTACTGCTGTGAAGGATATACCTCAGTGGGAGCTTGCTGCAGAGGTGACACCATACATGAAAACGGATGATGGTACAATTCCATCCATTATTGTTGATCACATTGGTGTATATTTAGGCTCAATCAAAGGAAGGGGCAATATTGTAGAGGTGAGGGAAGATAGTTTAGTTAAGGCTTTCATGCCTACAGGTAATGAGAATAAATTAAATGGTCTTGAATCATCTTCTGTTAAATCCATATCTAATCAATCGAATATGGTTGGCGCTACCAAAGGTGATTCATTGATAGGCCTGGGAAGCCTTAACCAACAACTTGTCAGTTCCTCTGCTGATGAACAGGCCAAAGCAGAAGAAGAATTTAAGAAATCCATGTATGGAGCTGCTGCTGATGGCAGCAGTAGTGATGAGGAAGGATCATCCAAAATAAAAAAGTTACACATAAAAATACGAGACAAGCCAATTGCCTCGTCTACTGTGGATGTGAGTAAGATTAAGGAAGCCACTAGACAGTTTAAACTTCATGAAGCGTTAGCTCCACCAACAAGGACTAGGTCCTTAACTGGTGGAAGCCAGGATCTTGGTCAGATTTTGTCCCTGCCACCAACAACTACAGCTACAGGGTTGGCTTCTTCAACTGATTCTACTCCTGGTGACCTTTTTGGTACAGATACATTGACTCAACCAGAAGTCATTTTGCAACCAACTACTGGCATTGTGAGTGGGGGACCTAAACCAGGACCTATTCCAGAGGATTTCTTTCAGAATACAATTCCATCCCTTCAAGTGGCTGCAGCATTACCTCCTGCTGGAACTTTTCTCTCTAAATACACTCCAGGGGCTGAAAATATTAAGACAACTCCTAATCAAGTTAGTTCTTTTGAAGCTGATGCTGGTCTTCAAGGTGGTATTCCACCTCAAACCATTCAACAACCTGTTGTTTCAATCGAGTCCATAGGACTTCCTGATGGTGGTGTCCCACCACAATCCTCTTCTCAGGCCGTGGCTGTACCCCAGTCTCAGTTACAGGTTGCTCAGGCTCAAATTTCTAGCCAACCTCTTGATCTTAGCATACTTGGAGTACCAAAGTCTTCCGATTCAGGGAAGACTCTGCAAACTGGTTCTGAAGAAATTGCTGTGCATCCTGGACAGGTATGAAGAAATAAACATGCAAGCGTGTTTATGGTATGAGGTGTGGTTCTTTGAAATATTTGTCCATTATTTTCTGTGGGTGTCAAGGGAAGAAGACTGGGTGAAAACAATGCAAGAATTAGATGTTCTAGATTGAACTTACATCTAACTATAACAAAATGGAATACACCCTCTTTTTTTTTGTTTCCTGTCATAATTTTGTGGATGCTAGAGAAGAAAATAGGACAATTTGCTTTAGAAAAGATCTTGTTTTAGTTAGAGTGCTTATGAACATGATAGGGTTATTTCTTCGGATAATGACAAATTGAAAATTAGCTTTTTACTGAACCTACGGCTCGTATATATCGGTTCATCATTGTTTCCAATCTCATCTCATGAATCTTCTGACAGGTTCCCCGCGGAGCTGCTGCTTCTGTATGTTTCAAGACTGGACTTGCTCACCTTGAGCAGAATAATCTTTCAGATGCGTTGTCTTGCTTTGATGAAGCTTTTCTTGCTTTAGCTAAGGAACAATCTCGCGGAATTGATATAAAAGCTCAAGCAACAATCTGTGCTCAATACAAGATTGCAGTCACTCTTCTACGGGTACTACTTCATTCAATTTTAAACATATGGACATCTTATAAAAAATGTTGAGAGTATTACTTTATTATCTCGTTATTTAAATTATGTATTTAGAGATTTTATTATCTTTTATGAGAGAAGATAAAAAGATATTAGGTTATTATTTTAATTTAGGTTATTATGATTGAGATATTATTAATATTTGATATTTTGTAATATTTTTACTCTTTATATAAATAAAGTACATAAATAAAATATATATCCATATGAGATATATTTTCATATATCATAAATACACATAAACAAAACCCTAAAAATTCTCATCAGTAGTATCAAGAGCTTTGATTCTTGGCTGTGCTGTGAGAATGCAATCCTATCTTGAAGGATTGGATGTATGAGAAGCTATGGAAGAAGATTATATCATTGATTCACTGCCTGAAAACCTCACCACAGTTTAAATGAAATTTCAGAGAAAGAAAAACAAGGAAGGCAAAAGTTAAATCATGTCTGTTTGTAGGTGTTTCACAACTAATCTTCACAAGAACCATGATGTTAAAGTCACCCAAAGAAATTTGGGATTATTTGATAGATCAATATGAAGGGGACGAGAAAATTCGAGATATGAAAGTTTTAAACTTGATAAGGGAATTTGAGATACAACGGATGCAAGAGTATGAGACAATTAATAAATACTCAAACAAATTGTTGGGTATTGCTAACAAGATAAAACTATTGGTTAAGGAATTTCCTTATTCCAGAATATTTGAGAAAATTCTGGTAACCGTGCCAGAAACATCTATTGCTTCATTGGAAAACACAAAATATTTGTCCAATATTACTTTGACAAAAGTGTTACATGTTTTACAAGCGCAAGAACAACGAAGATTGATGAGAGGAGATCATGTTACTGTTTGGTTCTTTACAAACCAAGAACAACAAAGGTACCAAATCACGTGTCTAATCTATCTGTCCTTATTGCAAAAAAAATAATCACCCACATAACAAGTGTTGGTGGAGGCCTGATGTAAAATATCGCAAATGTGGTCAATTGGGACATATAGAAAAGATATGCAAATTACAACCAAAAGAATCCGTCAAGGCTATAGAGGATGAAATAGAAGGGGAACTTCCCCTTGCGTCAACATGCTCTACAATAAACAAATCCACAGTTTAACTTATAGATAGTGGTTGTACAAACCACATGAATTATGATCGAGAACTTTTAAAAGAGCTCAACGAATCTGTTATTTTTAAAGTGAGAATTGGTAATGAAGAACAAATGGATGTAAAAGGTATGAGAATAATTGCATTTAAAAGTCATTCAGTTATCAAATTAATTTTTGATGATGTATATGTTCTTGATATTAATCATAATTTGTTAAGTGTTGTTAATTGTTGTTTAATTATTGGAGAAAAGTTACAAGGTGTCTTTTGAACACAAACTTTGTTTAATTAAAGATACAAATAACTTGAAAATATTCAAAGTTCACATGAAAGGAAAAAGTTTCACTTTAGATTTGATGAAAGAAGAGTTGACTACAAACAAGGGTATAAAAGAAAAGTAAAAAAAAAAACATAATGAATATTTCTTGAAGAAACTTGATGTTAAGAAGGAAAATAAAGATGTAGATGAAGAAACTATTTTCAACGTCTATCAAAGGGTCAATGGTACTACCATGAAGTTTGAAAGATACAAAGAAAATGAAATTGACAAAGGAAGAAATACTTTGAGGAAGAAAGTGAAGTTGAATGAAGATGTGATCTCATACAAGAAAGATGACAAAAAATACAAACAACAAGTGAGGACAAATTTCAAGCAAAATAAAAAGAAGAATATCAAATTCAAATAAATAGATATTAAAATAAAGAGAAATGTTTAGAATATTACTTTATTATCTTTTATTTAAATTAGGTATTAAGAGATTTTATTATCTTTTAAGAGAGAAGATAAAAAAATATTAGGTTATTATTTTAATTTAAACCGTTGTGACTGAGATATTATTAATATTTAATATTTGGTAATATTTTTAATTTATATATAAATAGAGTACATAAATTAAATATATACCCATATGGGATATATTTTCATATATCAGAAATACACATACACTAAACCCTAAAAATTCTCATAAATAAAAAATGTACACAAGCTTTTGTTCTCTAGGCCATAAGCTAGCTGTATCACAGAAACCGTGTTAAGATTGCTGCTGTTTTGTTGTTAGAGATGCCAGTTCCTGATGTTGAATAACCCAAGTACCACTCTGGGCAAATAAAAGACATGTTAAACTGTATATAAGCATAAAGAGGTTATATCCAATTGATTCAAATATTTGGATGAGACACTTCCTATGCTTGATGGATACTAGATGGACCTAAGCTGCATGACGAAATAAATCATTATTTACATTTAAGCTGAAACTATTTTTTGTAAACTTTTATTAAAGTTTTTAACCTTGGTGTCTAGAAATGTTGGTTTTCTCTGTTTAGACATGAACCTCCAAAATTGCTTCAACTTTTGAATTTACTAATTCAGTGTATGATTGAAAAATTGTATTACCTTCATTATTGCAGGAAATTGGACGTCTACAGAAAGTCCATGGTCCGAGTGCAATAAGTGCAAAAGATGAGATGGCAAGGCTTTCCCGTCATCTCGGTTCGCTGCCCCTTCTGGCTAAGCACAGAATAAATTGCATTCGAACAGCCATCAAAAGAAATATGGATGTACAAAATTATGCCTATTCAAAGCAAATGTTAGAATTACTTTTGTCTAAAGCACCTCCAAACAAGCAGGAGGAATTTAGAAGCCTGATTGACCTATGCGTTCAGAGGGGTTTAACTAACAAGTCCATTGATCCTTTGGAAGATCCCTCACAATTCTGTGCTGCCACCTTAAGCAGGCTGTCAACCATTGGATATGATGTCTGTGATCTCTGTGGAGCCAAATTTTCGGCCGTGACTGCACCTGGATGCATTGTCTGCGGAATGGGAAGCATCAAGAGATCAGATGCTCTTGCAGGAGCAGGTCCAGTTCCTTCTCCGTTTGGTTGAGTCTCGAAGATGGATTATAGTCTTTGTTATACCCGTTGTTACCCTGGCGGAAAGTATTGTGAAGAGAGACAGCCTTGTAGAGAAAGTATACAAGAGATTATGGGGTATCAAATATTGCCCCACACCTGGAGAGATTATAGGGTTTATCATCTATTTGCTTTCGAGTTTTGATGCAGTTGTGGGCTTTCTCTTTTTTTCCTCCGATGACGCATTGTTTGTGATTACAGAACGTGTTGTTCTCATGTAATTTTGTAGTTGCATTCATCCTTTGCCATGATAGAAAAAACGAAGTTGCTGATCAATTGTATCCGTAAATATTGTTCGAGTTACATATCTCATCCTTTAACAATCAGTATTCTGCTATGTATGTAAATTTACGATGGGATCTTATGTGATGTGCATAAAAGAAAATAGACAAATTTTTATCCAGTATCATGTGAAAATCCATGAAAGAATTTGTCGCACTTTGTGTTTATGTACGAAAATATGTCAATTAAATTTACTGTTTAGAAAGCTTACCAAAAAATGAACAAAATGATTGTAGTCTCCTTAGGCAGGGAGGGGAAAAAAATGATATATTAATTTATCGATTTATAGGATTATTATAAGGATTTGAAGATTATTTAATATACAGAAAATTAGAATATTACTATTTTAATCTATGTTTCTGACATATAAAGCAGCTTAATTTTTTGTTGACTTTTAAGCTATTGCTATTGAGAGGAGTACTTGTCAGTTGTTACACACTTATATTAATTGATCTATTCTCTTTTATTGGTTTAAATTTATTAAAAATTTGTGTGCTGAGTTTATTCAACAGGAAATGAGACAATAATTATTATATCTAATAATTTTTACTCAAAAATTATGTGTTAGAGAATATGATATTATAATAGCAAAGTCTCGTCAGGGTGGAGTTTAATTCTACATATTTTAAATGGTTGTGCAAATAAAATTTGAGATTTCACATATTACTTTGATTAACCTTTAAATATCTAGTGACAATGACAAGAGGAGACATTAAAGCAATATGAATTCAAGGATTATCTAAGGCAAATGAAAGTTTATGATGCCTATTGATAACAGATGTAAAACCGGACAGTTTATTATTTCTACTTAATACAACTAAATGTTTTTACTCTTTTCTTCTGAATCAACAAAAAGAAACAAAATACTTTATTTTCTGCCTTTCCTTTTCTTCTCATGTTTTTTTTTTTCTTTTCCTCCATCTCATTTTCTATTTACTAAAGAAAACATACACGATGCATTGCAGTGTACAAATATTTTCTTCAAATTCATGAACTCGTTTCTTGTAGTATCCGTATGGAGTTATTAAACAGTATACACCAATAAGATTGAAATTGTATTGTGTACACCAATTTTTGCTTATGACATCATCGTGACTCGGGTTTGAATCTTGAAAATTCCCGTTGGTAGAGAAATGAGCATAACGAAAAATATTTCATTGTCTAATCTAATCTAACCTATATTTAAAGCTAATATAGGTTGATTTTCGTATTTGACTTTTCTAAACTGAGTATGCTTTAAAAAAAATTTAAAGATGTATACTTCAAAGAATAAATCACACTTATAATTGTTGATTATATATAACATTAAATATAGTTAATTACAATCTTAATTATTAATAATTATTCTTCTTTTTTAGAATTCACCTCAATTTAGCCCATATCCAATCAGTATACTATGTATACTAAAAATCAAAGAATTTAACTTTATAATTAAACAATAATAATAATAATAATAATAATAATAAGAAGAAGAAGAATATAAAACTGCTTTATATTGTGAGAGAATAACTTATTTTCTCGGACGCTACACAATTTAGTGTATATGCCTACCCCTACTTTGATCCATGGTATGCTCACATAGTTGAATGTTACTCTATTTGGTGCGATGGGGTTAAAGCAACATAAGATATTATTATAAACCCAAAACGTTGCAGCCGAAATGAATGTCTAAGATTTAGAAACTCCCAATTTCTATGTATATCTCCTAAAAGCATAACTAATCAGCAATGACCCAAATGCCAAAACCCATTCCCAAATGAGAAAACATTACATGCTTTGGCTTATGTACTTTCTGTGTGAACCACCCAATGTACAAAAAACCCACCACATCAGAGTTTAGGAACCTGAGCAACACTTTTCAGAACTTACTGGTGTAAAAGCAACCTGAAACTGAAATCATAGGGCATCATTTGTACCATCTGTGATAGAGAGTCTCTTCCCCTTCTGTCAAGACATTCAACTGCTTGGTTTCTCATTTGGTCTGGTAGTTGGAGGCAAACCCAGTCCAACAAAGATTCCAAGTCCTTCGCAAAGTCCAGCAAATACCAGTCCAACAACTTGGGGATTACTAACTTGTTTGATTTTGTGATGCCAACTGAAGCCTGTAAATAGTCTCTCTTTGCTGCTTCTAACTCATCATCAACTTTCGATGCTGTATAAACTCTCACCTAAAGGAACCAAAGAAAAGTAAAAATGTTTATACCTAAAAAAATATTATATAGAAATAGAAAATGCATCTAATACATGCTTTCTTGATTGATGATGCTTCTTAACTAGTGAATACATTCACAAGCGTCTGCATATAAAATCTTCCTATCTAGTTTTGATCTACAAACACCAACAACACAATACTCAACATCGTTATTTATCCTAAAAGTATAAAATGGAAAAGTGGAATTTAAAAGAACTTTTTAGGTTTCATGTTTGGATGTGTTGTTCAGAAACGTGTTACCCAATATGCTATCAGTGTGTGATTGATTTTATGTCCGGTATAACCAAAATCACGTCATGTATAAGGCAGAACTTTATAATCACAGCTTCTATGTTGAACTTCGTAATTACTGTCTGCAATGTGAATTTAATTAATTTCAGATTTCTTAGTATAGAATCAACACGCCTGATAATGCTATAAGCTGTGCGACAAAATTTTCAAAGATAAATTGATTTAAGAAGAATTTGGTGGGGAACACATCATATTGCCTACTTCTCCATAAGCAATTCAAGAAGAAAAAAAATAAGAAAAATTAAAATTAATTTCTTCGTAAACTAAAATTAACTTGTGCACGAACTAATTTGTAAAACCTCTCATATAATTTTTCTAAATTCTTGCTTTTAACTTGTGTATATACTAATTTTAGCATAAAAAAAGTTTATTTCATTTTTTTCTTTATATTTTTCTCTTTTGGAAAAGTTTATAGAAAAACTAGTCCAAAAACAGTTAACCGGTGGTGTCTCAAAACAAATTTATCTTCTAAATTAATATAGAAAAACATACTGCAGGTGAAGACCAGCTTCCACAGGAAAGTGCAAATGTTACTAAGGGCTCAGACCATTCCAGGCCAAATATGCTTGGTGCTTTAACCTCATCATTTTTTGCAGCTTTTGGACACGTCTGTCACAGGAAGCCAAGATGAAATGGAGGTTTTTAGGATATTTAGAGCAGTATAAAGCACAAGAACAACAAAAATAGTGAAGAAAGGTCAATTTCATTTTTTGTGAACTCTAAATTCAAAAGAAAGGACAAGATTATTGCACTTACAAACTTGAGGTGATAAGGTAGTCTCAAGATGAAATGCTCTATTGTAATTGCATTGAGCAACTGGCCCCCCACTACAATCGTTGCCTGACACATGCATTGCCATGTCTAAGTTAATTAACTTGGACATTTATTCAGAGATATATATTGAAAGGACATTACATACTTAAATAGTGTATGTCAGACCTCAGCTTTACAATAATTTAGCTATTGAACCAATTCCATGTTGACAGTATGAACATGGTTTAATGTCCGACCTCAGATAACAGTAGAACCTATTTAGCATTGGTCGGAACACATGGTCAGTTTGAGTCTAATGATTTTTTTTTTTTCTTTTTTTTCTTTCTGTCAATTGGATTTCTTGGTAGATAAGATAACCATATATGGCTCAAGATTAGTACTTTCTAGCAGCATATAAGTATACAGAGATCACTACGAGTTAGACAAAAGGACCAGCAATGCTTCTACTGCTTCGAATATTTTTGTTTAACCACATCAGTCATTAGCAACAAGAACAATAATAATAATGAATGTTGAGAATATTTCCCAAATCATCGTACCTTCTGCATTAATGCTACAACCATTTCTGGACTCTCAGGGATGCCGTGCTCTAAATATGCCTACAATATTGAAACCAAAATCCTTTTAGATGTTCACTCTCAGCATATTAAGCAAGCTAAGATGACATCATATTCAATTCAAATCTAGAACTATTTCCGCCTTGCATTGTAATAAGATGCACTAAACCAGTAGCGCAAAAGTTTCGTACATTCATCATGCAGGAATTGTAAGTGTTTATCCAGAACGCAAGTTTTTCCTGATGAGTAAGACCCTTCAAGTTGAGAGAAGCTAGTTTCCCGAGTAAAAACCTGAAATTGTCAGCAACATTAAATAGACACCCACAGTTTCCCCAATCAAACAGTTAATAACCGTCTATAACTTCTTACTTTAATCGGTGGATCAGAAACACAGCATTTGTTGCCCGGTTCAGATCAACACTGGAGGCTTTAACTTCACATAAACCTTTATATGGACCAACTTCTCTTGTTTTGGATTCTGAGCAGATACCATAAGGATCACACAATTGATCCTTTTCCTTGCCGAATTGGTTGAAAGCTGATGCAATGCGTGAAGGTGTTTTTGCTTCCCCAATTTTGTCCTTGGATGTACCAATTCTAACAAAAATACTACTCAAGCACTTGACAATATCCTCTGAAACTCTATTAGGTGTGCTATCAACTTCTGACACCTTATCATCTGATGAACTTGAAGAACTCTGAGCCCTTTCATGATCTGCTAATCTCCAGTCCAACTGGGCAAGCAAAACAAAAAACAATGATGTTGAATGGACAGAACAATCATATCAAATACTAAGTACATGTTTGGTTCAGCTTATTTTGAAGAAACATTCACTTATTTTGTTAGCTCCAAGACATAAGCAGTCCTAAACACACTAACTAGTAACTAATTGAAAATTTTATTTGAGGTTATCATCTAGTTACCTGTAACTTCAATTGATCCATGCACTTCTCAGCTGATTCTTGTTTAAGTGGAGATTTCTTTATTGGAGTAATAACTTTGGTTGTTGTTTTCTTCTCCGGTGATTGCTTTTCCTTCACAAAGTTACAAAATGATCGATTCTCTTTTCCCCTTCCCTCTTCTGGGATAGATGAGAATGAATCTTGCTTTCTGTGCGATTGCTTTCCATGAACTAGCTTCCCAGTGTGCTCATTGATAGTTTCAGAAGAGAACAACAGCTTTCTGCTGGAAGCACTTCTGGCAAGAGAAGGCTGAGACCTACCCATCATAGTTGAATTGAACTCACTTTGAGACATAGATTTTGATCTCTGATGCTTGGAACTCCTGATGGTGTTTTGGTCAATGGGGTCATTCAAATTCTCTGCATTCCTCTTGGAGGAAATGTACACAGCTTCCTGATATAAACCTTGCCGAAAGTTCACAACCTGCTCTTCAAGTCTAACCACCTCCTCCTCCAACACTGCTACTTCAGCCAACAGCTCCAATGTCTAGACCAAGTACACACATACCATATTACTGTCCTTCTATCCATAAATCAACACAACAACAATAAAAACAGTAACAAAACTTCAAGCCAATTCCTTAAGTACTTTTGGTATCGCTATTCTAAATTTTCACTTTAATTCCCTGTATCGACATTTAATGCAAAACTTTATTCCACATGTTATTGAGATAAAACTGATATTCCAATTAAAAAATAATACCAGCAATACTTAAAAAAATATATTAAGTTTTAATAAATAAAAAAATAGTGTGTAAATACTATTACTCAAACAAGGGGAGTTAAGAGCGAAAGGAACTAATCCCTCACCATCACAAATTAATATTAGAATTTCCGCTGGAACAAGGTCGTCAACTTAGTATCGGGATTGATGAAATGAACAAACTCATTGATGGGGTGTTTGGATTTCCGTTCAAACAATTCAAACTTAAGTTCATTTCAATTCGTATTCTTACATATTTCTCCATTCCAACTGACTTGGAATATGTACTAACAATATAACACACTGAATGTGTGTGATTGAACAACAAAACAAGTGAGAGAGACTAACATAAGGTGGCAGATAAGGAGGAAGACGAGGCAGAGATCCCAAAGGCCTTGTGAATGCTCTTTCTAAAGCTCTATGAACATTCTCTTCATGTCTGAGCTTCCTCTTCAACTTATCTACCTGCATTTGCACCAACCTTGAAAACATGAACCGCTAGTGATTTTGCAGAACGAACCAAAAACATGGATGGAAGAAAAAAGGGAACACAATGTAAAAACATGGTTTGAGGAAGATTCAAAGTACATCTTGAATCAAAGCCATCTTCCTTTCTCGATTGGATCGACGCCCATTCTTGTGCCCACCCATTGTTCTCTTCCCTCCAGTTTCCATCTTCCCCTGCTTTCCACATTCACCAATAAACAAATCATCATCATAAAACTCAATTTCCTCCCCTCACAAAAAAGTAACATAAAGTAAACACAATAAATAAATAAAATAATAAATTATTCGTTTCGTCGAGAAGCTGATGAACCCATTTTAGATTTGGATCAAAAGCGCACACTTTTTCTCATGAGTTAATAAGAATCATTCCCAAACGGTTAAAGCAGCTCTTAGTATATGCTTCAAAATGAAGCTTTTTTCGAAATAAGAAAAACGAAGAATGTAGGAGAAGAAGAGAAATAAGAAGTTACTTTGGCATCATTTAAAGGAGGTTTCCTTGAGTGAAGAGTGGTGCGTGTTCTGCTATTCATTTCTCGTTCAACTTTCTCGAAATACGAGAAAGAGAAGAATGTAATCTGCTTTAGAAAAACTGGGTTACGAAATTGCAAAAGCGGGAAGCATTGTGAGACAGAGAAGAAGGTGCTTTCATACAATTGAGGGAGCGGGAAATGGGAAATGCGAGTTTTCTGCCAAAAGAAGAGATATTTTTTCCTTATGTTTTTGTGTGAATTAGAATAATAAATAATATGGTTGTTTTTGTTGCTATGACAAATCTCGAACAGAGTGAAAGACGGTAAGAAAAGGGCAGAGGAACATAAGAAGAAGCAAAACGACGAGGTTGTCCAGTTTCTTGCTTCCTCCCAGTAAAGCCTTCCACTTGTTTCAGTACCTACCACCAACCAACCTCTTTTTCACTCAAATTAACCATTAATTTAAATCAAATAAATAAAATACCAAAACAATTAATAACATACTATCATTTTTTTTACTTGTTAGTTGTAACTCTTTCTACTTATCATTTTTGTCTCATGATAAATGTTAATGAAGAGATACTCGTGTTAAAAAAGTGTTTTTTTCTATGTAAGAAAAATAGTAGATGTCTTCGATAGGAGATATTTATGTTTTAATCAAATGAGATTATGGTAGACAAAAAGGTTTTTTCTTCTAAATATTTAACTCAACTACGTATCAGAAAATGAACATAAAACTTCTGATTAAACTCTGAAAGAATCTAGGATTGATTTATGAGGTAATAAGATGGTCTTTTTATTTTTTATCATATGTGGAGTATTGTGTGTGATGGGAATATTTAATTTACTTTGAGAGTGGGCATGGAATTTGATGCGATACAGATATGGTGTCTGCGTACATGAGTGAGAGAGAGATGGTGGAAACGGAAAGGGAGAGAGAGGAGGATGTGAGGATACACTTTTTGCCTTTGGCATTGTGTGTGAATCGTGAAAGTGAGCGTGAAAGTGAGGGTGACAACCTCCTCTCATAATGAATTAACGTGCCACCCACCTTCCTCCCTCTTATTCTCTCTCTTTTCTTTTCTTTTTCATTCTCTTCCATCCGCATTAACTTCTTCATAAATTCTAAATATGATCATCATTCATCATGTACTCTCTTCTTCACTTTCCAGTTTTCCTTTATTCCACTTTGTTAATTGATTGAACTTAATATTTAAATCCTCTGGTAAATAATGATTAGTAGTTCCTAAAAGTCTATACTAATTTCCACCCATCAACAATTCTCACCAAAGACATCACTTCTTCATTAATCACAACTTTATTATCTTTTTTGTATACAATTAAAGCAAGCAAATCTTTGCCATTGAAATCCTAGATAATAATAATAATTTGTGTCGATGTCAGGTTTAGAATTGCTTAAACAAATTTGCATTTTCCGCTCCCATTTTTCTTTCTTCACTCTCCTTGCTGAAAGGTGAAAATTCCCTACTTTCACTTTAGCTTTGTTGGAAAACAATAATCTGAAAGAAATGAAAAGGAGAAGGAAGTGACTGAAAGAGTTGAGTGAGGTTTGTCGGGGCATGTGATAACAACCAAACTTTGAAAGGCATCGTCCTTAAGTACCAGTGTAGCCAAAAGTGTAGCGGGTCCATCATCAACTAAATGACTTTATATTGATTAATCATTAATGAACCTGATTCATGCATTTCTATTTCCTTACTTATATGTATATATCCTGGATCTGCTTCATACCTTAGTCAAAAGCATTAACTAAAATGCCTTTTCAACTAAGCAAGCCAACGTGCTATTTAATAAGAACACATTTATTTATCATACACTTTTTCACTACAATACAAATTCTAAGTAATCAATCCCGATTAGAGAAAGATGCAACTTAAAAAAAAATAAAACACTTTTTTTTTTATACTCATAAGCTATTTTACTAGAAGTTTTTTCTATCATTTCTTTCTTTCTTATTTAATGACAAAATATGAGTCAAACCAAGGTCCAGCTTTCTCTGGTACAACCTGTATTTTTTTTTCCTCTTGGTTCTCTCCCTGTATAATCACTTCATTAGATAATATACGTGTGAAAAGTGCAATTTTAACTATCACAATATATATATATATATATATATATATATATATATATATATAATATCTTGGTGGGAATTGTTGGTAGAAGATTATGTGAAGTGAATGAAGATGTCTTTGCTCATCATGACAAAGTGAAAGATCTCAACCGTGTAATAATTTGTCTCACAAATAATGTTTCTTTTTGGATAATTACAAGTTGTTGGATAGAAGAGTTTTTTCTGGTGATGTAAAAGCTTAGTATCGCTGGATAAAGTAAGGATAAGATTATTATTGTAAAAAAAAAAATCCAATTAATCAATAGAAGAAACACTATAAAGAATGGAAGAGAATCAAATTTGACTTTTGAGAAGACTTATCATTCCATCGCATTTCATTAGAGGTTCTTTTATGAAAGAGACATACCCAACAGTCTTGTGTTCCTCCTTTTGTATTCTATTTTTACTCCAACAAGTTGTTCTTTGGAATATTAGGCCTTTTGAGAATTTTACTAAGAATATAAGTATGAACAAAAAAAATATGTTTAATAAATATAAATAAATTTAAACTAATTTAACTCTATTTAGTGTCATTATTCCAAAATTCTGGTTAAGTTAATTCAAATATATCATCTCTATTAAATAATTTAACTAGCATCCTTTATAAGATAAAATGTTGAACCATGATCTCTATCTACTTTTTAATGTCCTCCACTCAAAAGAATGACATATGGTCCTTAATTTCTGGCCAAATGTGATATTTTTATTTAACTTAACTTATATTTTTGAGCAATTATTAAAACCCAAATACTATTTCCTTAAGCCATGGTATCAAATCTTTTGGACCATATAACAAAACTGCAAAAGAAGATAGTGCAGTGCTTGATCTATTGAATTGTTTATTACCATGCACGTAGTGAGTGAAGCATAAGGAGCCAAACCATTTAATTTCAATGTCTGTCGTATATTTTGTTCTTCAATGCCAAATTTCAAATAATTTTTGGATCTTATTGGAAGGAAACACGTGATTAAGATTGGAGACATGATTAAGAAGCAAGCAACGTGGTCAGTGTCTCTCCTTGAATGCTGCAATATTTTTGCATTTGAAATTAGCAATACAATTTACAATTAATTAAAATATTATTTATGAATTAACTATGAGCACGATCAGGCACAAATAGATGTGTCTTGCTTCTGGAAATGTTTTGTGTCTGGTTATCGGTTTACCTCTACTGATTTGTTCACCTTTGCTAACTACAAAACAAATCTTGAAAAAGAAAAATAAATTTGTGGGATATAGATTTTATATTTTTGTATTTGAAATTATACTAGTTGATAAACCAACTCTTATTTCTACTTTATCACCTCTTAAAGCACCTCATCATTATTGATGCATTTAAAGATATGGTTAACTAAAGCATGGTTTACTTGGTTAAGTTTAACCTTTTAATCTTTAAATTTTGTCTTATTCGTATATGATATATTGGGTGGTGTACTTTCTTTTGAAAATAAACTTTTATTATTCTATCGTTCTATGTTTTAAATTTACCAACCTTAATATTTATCTTATAATTAAGGATAGTAAATTAATCCTTGCTTAATGGATCGGTATGAGAAATTATAAAAATAGTTATGTCAAACAAATAATTATGATTTAAATTAAACAAGATTAATTTTGGTGTCGCTGTTTAGTATGTAATTTAAATGGACTTAAGATTGAGTTTTTCTATAAACTTATGTATGGTCTATCTTTATAAAAAATAAAAATATTTTATTAATATATATATATATATATATTATAATATTTAAGTAAGTAATCACAAATAAAATACTTTCTAATTTCTTTAATATTTAATTTTTTTATTTAACTTTTTTTTTTCATAATACAAGCAAAAATATTGTTTTACAAAAATGGTAAAAATGCATGCACTCATCTCTCATGCTCATCACTCATTAGTTAGGCTTGTTAAATCAATCTAATTTTCATTCATGTTTTGTATGTATGTGATGAATATTCCATAGTATATCCATCTGATATGAATCACAAGGGGTGATTTAAGATCTTTAAGGTTAGAATCTTGTAGGAAATTTAGGAATTTAGTGATAAGGTGAAAGGAAAGAATCATTCTTTCTAAGGAAGACAACTTACAAAGGATGTGAAAGTCCTTTTATACAGCCAAATATTCTTGAATCACTCAAGAATTTAGGAGAATCACTCTCACTAAAATAAAAGAGATAAACTCTAAATATTTCTAAAAATAAAACTCAACTTGTTATTTCTGATAAAAAAGGTTCAACTTATAAAGAAGTTTTGTCATGAAAGTTACAAAGATTTAATAAAGGAAAATAAATGCTAATAATGATTCATTAACCTAGGAATTGAAAACTTCTTAATGATTAATTGTAACTGAAATTGTGGTATCCAAAAGTCAATCAGTTATACACCCTTTTGGTCTCCCAAAGACTGATAACTAAATTTTCAATTGAGCCCTTATTACAACTTGCAATAAAACCAAATTTAAGTCCATTAATTGATTAATTCAAAACATAATTTGGTCAATCAACAATACTTGTTAAAGAGCTTCTTTTGCTTCCTTTACTCTAGCATGTTCACATCATTCTCTCCCTCTTGAAAATGATTTGTTCTCAAATCGGATTCATCATCTATATTAAAAAAGAGATAAGTCTGACAAATTGAATGTAGAACTAATATTATACTCACTTTTTATGGCTAAAATAGCTCTCCCTCACTTCACGTGTTTCACTCTTCTTTTGATCACTCTTTTTCTTCTCAAGTGTTTCACTAACGCTTTTTTTTTTCTCTCTTTTCTTAAAGAAATTTTTCTCTCATTTTCTTTTTATCCTTACACACTTCTTGTGGACTCAAAGGTTGAGCACAATCTTTTTGTCTTGGTGCATGAAAGAGAACTTGTTGGTGAACTCGTCATGATTGATTCTTTTATCAAATTGTCATGGTCTTCTCAAAAGT